TGGGAGCTTCGAGGGGTGTCCATTCCCTGCTGTCCCTGCTCTCAGGGTGGGGGGTGGCTGTGGGACATCCTCTCACACACATACAGAGCCACATGCTCTCACTGTGCTGCCTGAATACTCTGGGTGCCCTGACTGCTCTTCTTCCCCCAGGATCATACCTACCCTCCAGCTATTCCTTCTCGCCGTATGGGAGCAAGGCATCTGGCAGTGATGACAGTGACAAGTCCCGAGCCAGCCCCAGCGTGAGCTGTAAATCCAGCTCGGAGTCCAAGGCCCTTGACATCCTGCAGCAGCATGCCAGCCACTACAAGAGCAAATCACCCACGGTGAGCATCAGCAGGGCGCTGGCTTCGCCCAGCTCTGTGGGATAGTCCCTAGGTCCTGTAATAACGTGGCAGCAGCTCCTTTTGTCATGTGGTTTTGCTGTTTCTGCTGCTGCGGGGGACCTGCAGCCATCCTTTGAGATGCACCAGCCAAACCTGTGCCCCCATGCTGAGGCATCTCCAGGCCCTGCAGCAATCAGGTGACATTTTTCCTCAGCCCTGGAGCTGGCAGGTGGGATGTGGGGGTTGTCTTCGTCCCGTGGCTCCTCCTAGGCTGAGCTGGGAGATAGAGCTTGGACACAGTGAGGAAAGAGTGGTCCTCAAACAGGCCCTGTGTCCTCCACATGGCTTTTGGCATCTCACCCCATGGGAACCTTTTGGGCAAAGGCAGAGGGAACATCCCGATACGTGCCCCGGGGTCTCTGGTCATGTCCCTCAGCACGTGTCTGCTTTCTCCTCTCCAGATAAGCGAGAAGACGTCTCAGGAGCGGGACCGCAGTGGCTGTGGGGTGGTGGGGGGCGGTGGGAGCTGCAGCAGCGTCGGGGGAGCGGGTGCAGGGGAGAGGAGCGGCGACCGGCCCCGCACGTCGCCCTCCCAGCGCCTGCTCTCCACGCATCACCACCACCACCACCTCGGGTACTCGCTGCTGCCAGCACAGTACAACCTGCCCTATGCAACAGGTGAGAGTGGGGCTGGGCTGGGGGGGGAGCTGCGCCTGCCCTTGGGCCACGGGACCCTCACACTGTCCCCGAGGGCCCTGTCTCCCAGCTCCTGACACGTCTTCTCCCCACCAGGTCTCTCCTCCACAGCCATCGTGGCCAGCCAGCAAGGCTCCGCTCCCTCCCTATACCCGCCTCCGCGGAGGTGAGAACGGTGAGGCTCTGCTCCTGCCGCACCTCCGTGCGCGCCGGGCTGGGCCGCAGGTGGCCGGGATGGCGCTCACGGGATGCCCTCGAGGGTTTAGGGTTTGCCCATGGCCTTGGGGCTCGTGGGAGCTGACTTGCCCTTGGGCCGTGGCAGGATGTGACACACCAGGATGCCTGGGCTGTACAAGACGTGTGACTGGCTCACATGGAGAAGCGCTGGAGACTCCTTTAGACATCAGTTGAATGGTGTTAATTGTACTGCTTGACGTTCCTGCCCTGATCTGAGGCAGACTGTGTCTTCTCCCCTCGTCGGACACACACTGACTCCCCACCCCACCCCTCTTTGTGGAGTGGTGAGCTGGTACCTGCGGATATATTTATTCTACTGAGCACCAGCACTCGGGGTGGAGGCGACTCACCTGCCTGGTGCATATGAAGAGGAAACAGAAGCACTGAGGTTTCTTGATGAATTTGGGACCCTGCCGTGTCTCTGTGAGCTGCTGCTTCACGATAGGACTGGGGGCAGGCAGGGACTTGGAACATGGGCCGAGCCTGCCGTGTGGCCACAGTCTCAGGAAAGGAAGGAAGGACTGGCTCACAGAGCCTTGGCGGGTGTCAGGGGGCTAGTGTGAGCCAGGCGGGTGGGTGGCAGCCTGGCTGGAGGCAGCTGTGGAGCTCTCCCAATCCCTCATCTGGTCCTGCACCCCACAGCACCCACAACTCTGTGCCTGTGGGCAGGAGCCACCAGCATGTGGCCAGTGGCCAGAGTGGGGCTGGGGAAGCTCTTGGCCCCAGGAAAGCAGCCTCTGCCCTTGGGGGCTGAGGGCAGCAGGAGACAGAGCTGGGGGCTGCGTCTGTCACCCCACAGGCTGCCAGGGCCCCCCAGGCTGTGCACGGTCCAGACCTGCCTGAAGCTCCTGCCTGTGGCTTTTGCTTTGGTTTCGGAGCTGCAACTCCGCAAATCCCAGCCTTTCCTCTGCCCCACTATCATGGCAAGTGCTTCCCAAACCCTGGGGCAGCACATCCTGCCGTGGGGGGCTGTGGTTCCCCTTTTCATCCACCTTTTGCTTTTAGGGCAGCTTCCCCGGGCCGCAGGCAGGGCGCAGCAAGAAACAAGCACACTTAGGTTCTGCCAGAGGCGTGTGGGGCCGCGCCGGTCCCTGCTCCAGCCTCGCGCCAGGGCTGGGGGCACCAGGTCCTGGAGGAAGACGGTTCCCACTCCTGCCTGCTCCCCAGCTCTGAGGACAGGGGCTTTCTGGTCCTCTGCCCCCAGCCCCAGAGCGGCTCACCCCAGGCCGACACTCTACCTCGGCCCCGCAGCGGCCGGGCCGCCCCTGCTCTGCCCCCGCCTCTCCCGCTGCCCGGCCGGGGGACATGGGGGACATGGGGGCCATCGGTCTCAGTCGTGTGTGTCCGTGTTGCACCCGGCCCCGAGGGCCGCTGTACGGGGATGCTCTGCCTGCTGGGCTCTGTACATACTGTAAAAAGCAATTGTTTGAAAGCTGTTGTTTTGGGTTTTGTTTTCTTTCCCCGTTTCTTCCCCATCCCACTGTGCCCAGTTGGAAAGGAGGTGCTGGCTGCTCTCGGCCCAGTTCAGGTGCCGGCGGCACGGCGGCCCCAGCCTGCTCTTGTTGTCTGACTCATTTTTCTTCCACTTTGTTGTGTTTGGAAGGAGACGGGGCCGCGTGGCCCAGCACACTCTGCAGGGACAAGGTGGGTTGATGGACCCACCCCACACCCGTCACAGAGCCAGCCACATGCAGCCACGGGACTGGGGCGTGGCGGGGTCGGGGTGCTTTGGAGAGCCCCACATCCCACCCCTGGAGGAGTGTCCCGCTGGCTGCTCCTACCTCCAGCCCCGGCTGGCCCGGCACAGCCGGGCTCCCAGCACGGCCGGGGCCCACAGCGGCTCCAGCGGCGCAGAGGAAGTGCCTGGGGGTGTTGGGGTGCCACAGGCTTTGCTGGCAGTCAGAGGGGGTCGGGGGGCTGCTCCCCACCTTCCCAGTTGGGTCCCAGTTGAGTCTCCCTTTAGGTGTTAAATGAAACAACAGTTTATGCAGAATAGGTTTGAGGTTTGGCATTTTCCGGGTTCTCTGGGCCAGCTGCTGCCCACGGGGCCACCCCCAGCCCTGGTGTCAGACCGTTGGTGTTTATAGCTCGTTTCCATTGGCGTTGCTGTGTTGGGTTTCATTTCAGTCTTCCTGACTCTGCCCTTCTGTAAAGTGTACATTATTACCAAGTTCCTTGTTTTTTTATATATATATATATAAATATATATATATACAAACTGTACTCTTCTTGCCTTTGTACATTTAGGCAAGGAGGGAGAATAAATCTTTTTAAGAGACAATCACAAACCTGTGAGGGTGGCTTTTTCTTGCTGTTCCCCCAAGTCTGGTCCTTTATCCCTAAAGAGTGTGGCCAGTTATTTTTGGGGGTGGGAGATGGGGTTTCCCCATCTCGGGCATCTGAGAAGGCTCTTGGTGCTCACTGACCCCTGGATCCACCTCTGCCCCAGCACTCATGGCTCTGGTGGGTGCTGCAGCTGAGCTCAGACCTGGTGATGGGAGGCAGAACCCCCCAGGGCCAAACCCCTTGGCACCAAGGCCTCAGGGTACAGGAGGAGGTACTGGAGGCACGGGGCAAGCACAAGGCTGGGTTTGGCTCCTCCAGCTTTGCCATGGAGGTGATCCATGTGGGAAGCAGCACCCAGGGACACCGCAGGCACCTTCCAGATTTTCCAGAGGGTGTTTTGGAAGGCATTTGGCAATTTGAGAAATCCACATTTGCCCTCCTTTACTTGAGGCAGGGCAGGAGAGGATTTGAAATTGCCAGAGAAGCAGATGCAGTGGCACAGCTTCCAGCTCCTGTGACCAGAATCTTACATTTTGCCAGTCAGTTCTACCAGTAAGAAGCAGCAAACTGGTTCCCATCCCATCAGCTGGGATGTGCCAGCCTGGAGCACCATGGAGTGGCAGCCAGCCACTGGCACATGCAGGGACACACAGGAGGCACCCACCAGTCCCGGGCCAGAGTCGGGGCAGCTCCTACAAGAAGGGATAAAACTGGGCCCTTCTCAAGCCAGCAGCAGCACTCAGCAGTTTCAGCCACGGAACACCCATTCCCAAGGGCTCCTCTTTCTGAGTACATTTGATTTTAAACTGGTAGAGGGTCTAATGCCCTGCTGGAGGGAGTAGAACTCCTTTCCCTCTTGGTTTCATGGAGGGGAAGGAGGGCAAAAGAGACCCAAATTTATGATTATTTATTTACACACACTCATATCCCAGCTCCACCTCTCCCTAAGCAAACACCATGCTGGATATCAATGACTCGGGTCCAGCTTCCCAACAGAATCATCTGTGAAGGGCAAGGGCACAACAGGAACAATCCCACAAGGAGCCAGGCCAGGAAGAGCTGAGGGCATGGCCCTGGGGCACAGCCCCCTTCCCTGGGGCCTGCCAGACAGAGCCAGCCAGGATACAGGGACAGGGCTGGGATGAGGCATTGACCTACTGCTGGCACCATGGATCCATGGCACCATGATCCTTTCCTGGAAGAAGCCCCTGGATGGGGAGAATATCCCAGGCCCCACACAACCCTTTGGTTTGGATACAGCCATTGGTGGCATCTCAAGCCTTGAGCTCATCCCTGTGGGAAGATGAGTAGGAGCAGAGTTGAGGGCTTGGGGTTGCTCCAGACTCATCCTAGGGCAGAGGGTAGAGGCAGGAGCTTTCCTTGGCTCTTTGGACCAACCATCACAGTGCAGGTCAGGAAACTGGTCCTCCCAAATAAGCAGCCCCAGTTATGTGAAGTTCATCTGAATGCCCCTTTTATTGAATGCTGTGATAGTGTAATGGGAACGTGGAACAGGGTTAAGACTGCGTAAAACAAAAGCTGGAAGAGCAAGAAGTTTCAAAAAAAAAAAGGAAAAAAAAAAAAGGTTAGACCAGTTAAACCAGCATTGGAGATGTATGGGGGTTTAATGTAGTGTTAAAGGATAAACTTGAGTGTCTCCTGCATGTGCCCCACACCAAGCCAGGCTGTTTTTAAGGTCTTGAATGGGAAATGAACAGGTTGTGTCCCAGCTGAGCCCACGCTGGGTGGGCAGGAGGCACCAGTGGGGTTCAGAGGAGTCCCGAAGGTGGTACTGACCCCGGGGCTCCCACACCATGCAGGTGCATTGGAAGAGCTCCTATGCCAGTTCATAAACATCTTCCTTTTCCTAGTGATGATTACATGTGTGATAGATAGTTCTCTAGGCAACATGTTTCAATGAGAGTCAACTCTGGGGATACACAGCCCAATCTAACAATGAGAAATGCGCTTGCAGTCCAACAGAAGCTCTGCTTCCCTCTCCTCAGGAGAGGAGGTGGTCCTCTCTCCTCTCCACAGCATGTTAGGGTCCCACTGGAGCTCCGCTCTGCAGCTATTCTTCATCGGAGGAAGAGCTCTGATCCAGGGGGTACACCATGAACATCACGTCCGGCCGCGACGGGACAGCGGGGTGGCCAGGCCGCACGATCTCGAAGCCCAAGAAGCTGAATGTCTTCAGGAGTGGAGCTACCAAAGAGAAGGAGATCTGTTACCACCAGGAATAATCCTCTTTACCCTCTCCGTTGAGCCATCAGTATCAAAGTGCATGGGACACCCTCTGTGAGTGCATCGAGAGCTTCCTATGCAGAGAAGCACAGTCCTCTCCAGCAGGGGTTTTTGTCTCCTCCTGTACTGATTGCAGCTGCCCCTAAGTGTGAAGGGGTTTTAGCTGTGCAGCTGAGCAGCTTTGTCCATGTTTCTCCTGCCATCTGCACATCCCTGCTTTCCAGGACAGAGGTGGCCATCCCATAGGATTTGTCCTGCCCCAGCACCCCTTGAGCACCGACAGAGGACAGACAGCAGCGAAGAGGAATCTGCTCAGGGACAAGGAAGACATTTGATGTCTCCACAAGGAGGTGCTGGAGCTCATTGGAAACTCCAGACAACTCTGCACTGGTCAGGGTGGGACCCCAGGAAAGCCACTTAGGTTACACATGGGAGTAGGAGTGGGGCCAGCCCAGACACGGTTCTGTGGCACCGTGCCTGTGTCACTGAAGCAATGGCTGCCCTGTGACCTGTGACACTCACCCTGGTGCAGCATCCCATCCCTACAGCACCCTCGGGCAGTCAGCTCCAGGACACTGAGTGATAATGCAGAGGAGCTCCTGAAGATATTTTCTGGCAGCACTGAATTTCAGCTGGATAGACACGGACCCAGGATCTGGACCACTCCAGAACTCCTACAAACAACCCCTGGCATTGGCTGTCCCCTGTCCCCAGCCTCCGCAGGGGCCACCTATGCAACCGGTGCTAGTGGTGACATAACAGCCAGGACTTGATTCTGAAATTATTCCTGGCATGGTAATGAGGGATGATGACATCTTCCTGGGCTCAGCTCAGCTTTACTAAGGCCCTTCATTTCAGAGAAGCTGGGACAGCTCACGAAGCTGCAGAGTAAAATTAGAATTGGGTTGGAATTACTCGCTAGGATACAGCCTGACTCTGGTGGGATTTAGAGTGACACATTCCCAGCCTGGTACATCCCCCAGCCCCCCAGGCTGTAATCCCTCTCCCAGCACGTCTATCTTTAGACCCTAATGCAGCCCCCAAAGCCATAAGCATCTCGAGCCAGGGCCAGGATTACCTGTAAGCCTGGAAAGGACAGAAGTGCCAGGAGATCTTTTAAAAAGCTGATGAATTTCAGGGCAACAGGCTCTAAGTGCTTGTTTTCCATCTAATAACTCCTCCCTGGTTTAACCTTCCATGTCACAGCAGCCTGGTGCCAAACAGAGACTTCACTGCTCACCAAAAGAACATTAACTGGCACTGGATGAGAAAATCACCCCAAATCATTCAGGAGCAGTTTTTTGCACCAGAATATTGAATGGCAGGGCATCAAAGCAGATGAATGGAATCCCAGACTGGTTTGGGCTGGAAGGGATCTTAAAGCTCATTGAGTTCCACCCCACTGCCATGGGCCGGGACAACTTCCACTGGACTAAGTTGTTCCTATCCAGCAGATCTGCTGGAGAAACCGCAACACTCCCTCAACCCTTACCCTCCAAAAAGGGCTTATTTCCTCCACACAAAACTATTCCCATAAGAATTATGCACATAACACTCCCTGCACAGGGAGGGTCCTGCAGGTCTTGCCCTGGGATGACCAAGTTTCTTTACAGCTTCAGCAGGACCGTGTGGGATGTCAGGAGTGAACCCGAGCGCAGGCCAGCCCTCACCTCGATCTTCTCTGCTTTTTCTGAAGCAGATGAAGACATAGTTGACTTTCATTTTTTCTTCAGCAAACTCCAGCAGTGCTGACAACCTGCCAAGGAGGGGGAAGACAAAAGGACATCAGCTCTGGGAAGTCCAGTCCTGAGGAAGCCTCTGAGCATTATCAAATTATCAACTGTTTGGATGATTTCGGACACAAAGATTGTTTACAGCTGCCTTCCAGCGAACAATGGGTGCTGAAACAATGGGCTTCCTGCCCTGCAGATTCAAGAGCTGTCCTTGCTCCGAGTCAGGATAAGTTCCTGTCCTCACAGCCACAAACACCCTCCCCACCCGTGGTGCTTTGGGACTGAAGCCTTCGTAGTCAGGAAGCGAAATATTGCAGCTGCTCCCAGAGCAGGCTGCATTCCCTGGCAATGCATATGGGGGCTCTGGGAGTTCTGTGCTTTTTGGGAAGGAAAACTGCCCAGAACCGAGCTCATGGCAGGCAGAAAAGGAGAACAAACCATCCCTAGAGAACATGTGCACAGGCAAATCCCATTTCCTGAGCTGGATGGCACAGCTGCTGCCCCCTGAATCCTCGCTTCCTGCCTTTCCAGCTGGATTATTTCTGCCACCTCCTGATGGAAGCAGTGCTGCAGTAACCCCTCTGCGAGCCTCCAGGGTGGCACACTGATCAACTGCTGTCACTTGCAACCACTGGCGCTGCCAGAGCAGTGACAGACAGGCCTTCACTCCACATCTCAGTAACCAGCTGTCAGCACAGCACAGGAGATTAAATTTGCAAGGGTTCTGTTAATATGTTAATGAACTACTTTAATTATGGCTTCTGGCCTCTCCTCGGCTGTTTCACCCAGCTAAAAATAACCTGACAAAATTGCGCTTTAAGTCACAATGACACTGGCAAATAAATCCCCTCCCAGAAGGACCCATTCCAGGGAGAGCCCAGAGATTTACGGGCCAACTGGAGAAACTACACAAACATCTATCTGGACTCAGAGTCAAATGAGACAAGTGTGAGACAGCAACCAGACTGCCACTTCCTGCAGGTGCCCAGTGATGGGCTTCTCTTTAATTAGCTCGTGTCACTGAGGGATGAAGCCTACTTGGAGATTTAGGAGGAGCTCCGCAGAGAAATCCAGCAAAGCCACATCTACACTGCAGCGGAGACCTCTGGCACAGCACTTGGCAGGAAGGAGCTGCTCTGGAAGCTGCATTTACACAAACTTCCCATAGCAGAGCTGTCTGGACAAAACATGACCGGATTCTGCCAAGAGAAAAATCAGAGCTCCTGGCAGAGTCCGGCACCAGTGCAGCAGTGCTCCAAGAGCAGATCCACCTACTAACGAGGAGAACATCAATAGGATGGAGAGGTTTTTATTTCCCTGAAAGAAAGGAAAATCTGCCAAGATGGGCTTGCCAAGTGGCCCGCAGAAAAATAAAATTAAAAAGTAATAAAATATCAGAGAAAATCTTGTTGGCTTTCTATACCAAAGTATACAAAGATTCACTCTGCTCATTTATTGCCTGTTTTTCATTAGTGTTGGGACTCAAAAAATGGTAACTCATCTGGAATATCACTGAGAGAAAAATATTCTTGTGGGGGACTCCGCAGACAAGGGAGCAGAATGTGCACAAACCACAAACAGAGCTGCTATTGCACAGCCCATTTTCCCCACACACAGCATGGAATCCCAGGATGGTTTGGTTTGGAAGGGACCTTCAAACTCATCTTGTTCCAACTCCTGCCATGGGCAGGGACACTTTCCACTAGACCATGCTGCTCCAAGCCCCATTCAGCCTGGCCTGGAACACTTCCAGGGATGGGTGTCCATCCACAATTACGTAACTCAAGTCCTGCCCTCCAGGAGCCATGGCTACACTGTCAGGATGAGAACTTACCCTTCTTTGCTTCCATCAGCTAATAGTCCATCAGGGATTTCCACAAAGAGGCTCTGGTTTGAGAGCACTGCATCCCAGGAGGAGGTCTTCACCTCTGTGACCTTGTACTGGAAGTGGACAATGTGAGGCTTCCCTTCATGCACTGGGACATCTTGGCTAACAGTGATCTTCTCATCCTGGGAAAATGAAAAATGTAAAGTACTGAACAGCCAGGGGACAACTGGAGAAAGCAAATGTAAAGAAATGGTCTTAGGGTTTTACTGAGAAGAGGCTTATGCTTTTCCCTTCTCCTTTTGCTGGCTCATGGACACATCACACAGTTCTCAGCCCTCAGAGTGATTTCTAGCCATGTTTTCCTGTTATGGGAATGTAGTTTTACAGTTCTCAGCCCTCAGAGTGATTTCTAGCCATGTTTTCCTGTTATGGGAATGTAGTTTTACATATTGACATAATACTAAATTTCTGACTAGAAGACTCCACTCCTTCACTGCAGGCTCCAGCCACATCTGGTGGTGCTTCGTGAACTGCCCTTCCAAGAACACAACTGGACCCAACACCCAACACAGAGCTTCTGCTACCACAGCCCAGCCAGGTTTGGTGCCTCCCCCATCCCCAACACAGCCTTTCTGTTCCAGGAGTGACCACAAATTGCTTTCCCAGATTTTATGGTTTGCCTCCTGGTGTAAGGGAGAAAAACACAGAGTGCAGGGAAATTCCAGAGCAGATCTGAAATTTGTGAGGAGGTCTTTTCCAGAGACCACAAATGCACATGTCCTTCCCCAGTCCTGCCCCATGAGGATGCCAAGCATGCAGATTACTTGGGATCAGCTCAGCAGTTCCTAGAAGACAGTTCAGTGGTTAAAGCCCCATTCCTTCAGACAATTCCTGCAGGCACTTGGCTTGCCCAGTAATGATTTCCACGTTTCAGTGCAAAGAGCCCCAGTGAAAAGCAGAGCCGAGTTAACGCTGTTACTGCAGTGAAG